TTGGTTTTGGATTGTAATTACACTACATTCTTTGACTGTAATGTGATTACATTGCAATCTTATATTGTAGTGATCTGTTGCAAAACAAACACTGTAATGTAATTTAATTAAATACATTATAAGTAATGTGCTCTTATTTTTATTATACCAAACGTTACCTAAAACTTACCTGTTTTTAAACCGATCAAGTGATGGGTAGAAAACGATGTGAAGCGGACCTAATTAGTATATAATACACCAAACATTATTGGAGTTTGGAAAGACACCTAGTTAGCATATATTAACACGGAAACTGGCAACTTCTGGAAAATCAAAACTATCCATCCTCTTTCTCTCTTATGAAGGGATGTAGCATACGGCTCTTTTTCATGTCTGCTTGGCTTTTTCTCCCATTCATCTATACCTTTGTTGAGACTTTTGATTTTTCAATGCTCAAGGTTGGGGAAATTGATTTAGAGTCGGCTTGGTTTAATTCTTTTTTAACTTAAAAATTATTATGAAGCTTTTATAAAACATAATAATTTTTAAAATTAAACTATAATAATTTGATAAATTATTTAATAAAATAAATTATATAAATTCTAATTTTAATTAAAAGTATCTATATTATCTTCAATCACCTAATAAACTAAAACGGAATAAATCTGTTTCTAATTTATATATGATTTCATATATTAAAAATAAAAAAAATTCATAAAGAAACGGAAAAATTCAAAGTTGTAAGTAATAATAGTATTAAATTTTTTAGTGAAAAGAGAGAATTTTTAAATAGTACTTGAATGCAACTTTAAATTTTAGAATTTTGTTTCTTTTAATTTTTATAAGAATAAAAAAATTATATTGGAGAAAGGTGATTTGTAGAGAGAGGGAGAAGAGAGGGAGATTGATTGAGAGATAGGATATTTTTTAAAAAATTAATATGTTTGTAAAAGAAGAGAAAAAAAAAGCTCTTATTTAGAGTTTTTTTCTTAATTTTATTTTTTAAATAAAAGCTGATTTTAAAAAAGAAATTTAAATCCTATTTATCGACCTAGCTTCTATTTTTAAGAGATAGACAAATTAAAAATAAATCAGGCCAAACAAGCACTCAAATTAATTTTTAAGTTGGCATTGACTTTAAGAGGATTGGGTAAATTGGGGGAAGAGGCAAGGCAACATTAATATATATTTCACTTGCATTTAGTGTTGCCTTTTGAAATGTCTTATTATGATAAATTTCCTTTTGTTTGTAAAAGAAAAAAAAACCAGTGAATTATCTAGGATGAAAGTTTGTAAGTAATATAAATCGATGTCCAAAGTTTGTAATCTTTTGAGGTAAAAAATAATTCCTAACACAATAATTGTAAATTCAATCAATCAAAATGAGGAATTGTGCGTGTCAGTTTAAATAAAACCACAACCTAATCTCCCACACACACACATATATATATATATATATATATATATATATATATTTGGGCAAGATTGCTATATAAAAGGTTTGATCTGTATTTTAGTATGTACGATGAAGAATTGATGTGATAAGAAAGGTGGCGGCCCAGCCCTGCAAGGCTTAGCTTCATGTGTAATATTTTTAAAGTAATTAAAGCACCCGGGCCCTGCAAGGCTTAGCTTCATGTGTAATATTTTAACTTGGAGGTCTTTTGTTTAAACTCTGAAAAAAAAGTTAGGTTTGCTATCAAAAAGGTGAAAGCATATTTTTTTATAATATATTTAATTAACTTATATTACAGTATTTATTTTACAACATATCACTGTAATGTAAGATTGCAATGCAATCACATTACAGTCAAGAGATGTAATGTGATTACAGTCCAAAAACAATGCAATTATATTACATTGCATTCTGTAATGTTTTCAAAGATAATTTTACCTTTTAACTTTATTATTTTATTAAAAATATATTATATTATTATAAAAATATTAAAATAAAATATATAATATAAAAATAAAAAATTAAAATAAATAAAATATAAAAAATTAAAATTTATATAATATAAGTAAAATAAACTAAAATAAAATATATAATATACAAATTAATAATAAAAAATAAATATATTAAAAATAAAATATATGACATTAAAAATATATTTAAGAGATGATATAATATAAAAATTAATAATAAAAAATAAATATATTAAAAATAAAATATATAAGATTATAATAATAAATAAAAATAAAATATATGACATTAAAAATATATTTAAGAGATGATATTATATAAAAATTAATAATAAAAAATATAAATGTATTAAACTTGTATTTTAATAACTATGGGTAATTTTGAAAATTAAAGTTACATTGTAAACCAAACGCTACAATGTTATTTTTTTTACATTTTAATCATTATTTTGCTTGCATACCAAATAGACCTGTCAATATGGGCCGGCTCGGCCCAGCCCGACCCTAGCCCTTGTGGGTTGAAAAAATATGGGTAGGGCCGGGCCAGCCCATATTTTATATGGGCTACAAAATGTTCAACCCAGCCCAGCCCTTGCTAGCCCATGGGCCGGGCTAGCCCTGCCCCCCCTCCTCCGGCTCCCACGAGTCCCGATTCCCCCTGCGGCCCTGCCCGCCCCCCTCCGGCTCCCACGAGTCCCGGTTCCCCCCTGCGGCCCTGCCCGCCCCCCTCCGGCTCCCACGAGTCCCGATTCCCCCCTGCGGTCCACCGGGCTGGCCCGTACCAACCCGGATCAGCCCTCGGGCCTAAACGGGCAAGCCCGTTTAGGCTCGGTTTTAATACGGGCTTAAATTTTTAAGCTCGGCCCGTCCCATATTTTAAAAAAATGGGCTGACCCGACGGGCCAAGCCTATTTTGACAGGTCTAATACCAAACACTGTAATGTTATTTTCTCTACAATCATATTGCTTGCAATCACATTACCTGTAATCACATTGCATTGTAAAATAGCAAACGTTACCGAAAGATTACCATAAGTTACGCTGGGTAAGATAATTTTATATATGTAGATACTTGACAAAAAGATTTATTAGCTTCATGTGTAAGAGATTTAGCTTGCATGACATGTACTATCATTCCAACTACTGACAGCTGCCCTTTTCTTATAGATTTTATAACCTTGGTCCTTGAAAATCATTGTAATTTTGCCTTTGATAACGTAAAGAAAGCATTCATTCTAATTACGTCTTTACTTGTAATAAAGGTTTGCTTAGTCCCTTTCAGAAACTCAAATACTAGATATGATTTCTAGGTTCCATGATTTCAACTTATTCACATTTGACGTTTTGTTGTTAAATTTTATATTGAGTATATATCGAAATTAAAACCAAATGACGATTAATGAAGAAATCTTTTTTATGTTAAGTAATTCAAATATTTAAACTTAAATTTATATTATAAGATTTCCTTTTATAAATCAACCATTATATATATACTTTTATACTTATGAGAAACGAACAAAAGTGAATTATTTGATTTGATTTCGTGCATGCAACATGCTTAAAGTATGAGAAATGTGGTAGGATCCATGGGGTTCTGTTGACCTCTCCTTTCTGTCACGACTGAGTAGAAGCATTGAATGTTGTGGCCAAGATAGCTAATTTGTACCATGTTCTGACAAACAGAGTTGAGAATTATTTTCAAAGTTTTGTTGTAACACGTGACTGGCAAGCAATAGGGTGATAAGGTCAATGTCAACCTACAGCTTATAAGGAAAATATCTGATCCCCCATATGAAGTAGAAGATTTTATTATTCACATAACATTATGTTATAAAAAAAATCATCCATGTGTGCCACAATATAGTTTCAAAAATATTAAAAAATTAAAATTTTTAATAAATTTTACATGTATGGCTAGCTACCGTTACATTTCTCTAATAAAGATTCTAACTTAAAGAAACAAAAAAGTTTGCATAAAAGGAGCAAGAGAAAAGAAAAGAGAAAGGTAGTGGTATCTTTTTCTTTGTTTCAAAAATATGTAATGGAAAGTGAGTGATGTTTAGAAATTATAAACCAATCGACATGTTTGTATAAAATAATGTATGTTATTTATTTATAAAAATAAAATCATAGAATGAATATACTTTGTAAAAATAATTATAAAGAGTTATAATATTAAACTTTGTTTTTTAAAAGTCATTTGATTGGAAGGAATTAAAAAATATTCTTGAAAATTTGGCCGTAATCCAAAACATATTATCACATTTTGCTATTGTAGACTTTTTTTTTTTTTTTGCTATTGTAGACCTGGTAATAAGATACACAATATATTAATTTCTTTTATTCATAGGCAAAGCATCAAAATTTTCAAAGAATGGAATAATAGCTTCTTGTAAAATTAAAACTCATAATAGGGTTTGCTAGTCTCCATCTGACATCTACATAAAGGACAGTTTTTTTTTCCTTTTAACCCACTCAAAAATACAAGAAGCATGGAACTTATGGCTGCAGTACCCCATGGCTCTAGCTTCCTCTCCTCTCTCCATGTTTTCCAGACAAATCCCACAAACTTCTCCTCCACCTTCTTCAATTCTGACAGCATTCGTTCCAGCAAAAGCAGGGTCAATAGTTTCGGCTAACAGTTTAGCCAGTTCAATGCCCACCTCTAACTGAACTTCCATTAACGCTGTTTCGTAGTCTCTGTTGGTTTCACGTGCCCTTGACATGGCCAGCGTTGTTGCCATTGTTTCACACCTGATGAAATCAAGTTGTTCCTTGTCTAACTTCCCTGAGAAAGTAGTTCTTGGATCATAAGAACGGTCGAAACTTGAATAACGTCCCCAGTTGCTTAACCTGTTCAGCGTTTCTGCTTTCAAGGTTGCTATCTGCTTCACATCCATTGTGACGATTGATATATAAATGGATGAATTTCTTTAATTCTGGAAAAAGTTTTGAAAGCCTGGAGAAATAAAAGAGAAGCAAAGAGTAAATTAATTCTTTCTTAGTGATTCTAGGTAGGCGGTGACAATGCTTTCGAAACAAGTAGTTAATTTCAAAGAAGTGTCAGTCTGAGAGAGGTATAGAGATGGTCAAACCGCGTCGGCTTACACCGAAGACATTGGCAAATATTGCTTGGCAAGTCAAATAATTTGGGTCTTGATTGATCCACTAGAAAGAGGACATATCAGGTTTATTTTATTATCCAGACTTACGAACCTTAATGTTCATGCTTTGGGAAACCATATAACGCTTAAAAAGAGCATAACTTATCTGTATTGTGGTTTCTAAATAGGAAAAAATATCCATCGCTCAAAAAGTTTTGATCTTTAATAATCCTTTTGAAAAAAATGAAAATTCAATTACAAGTTTGCATTGATTATATTCCTATAATGTTTATTGTGTTAGTTAGTAAAAAATAAATATATACCCCATTATTTGTTATTTATTAGCTTTATACCATTTGTGAGTAATAAGATTGCTTCCACCAAAATAGCATATATGTGCGTGACTAAGGATCTGCAACATGTGGAGAGAGTCGACACAGATACAGAGTATTGCAATTATATACTGGTCTGCTACCGCAGTTACCGATTTACAATTCCTCATTCAACGATATGTAGTAGCACAGGCAATCCTAACGTCATTAATCAGTGATTCTTGAACCTTGATTCCAGCTTCTTTCATCCGGTACAGAAGCTTAATAGCCCTAAGACACAACTCATTCTGTACATAACCCATAAGCATGGCATTCCAACATGCAATGTTTCTTTTATCACCAACGATCTCAAATGCCTTTTCAGCATCTCTCACTGAACCGCATTTACCATACAGGTGGATCAATCCGCACTGTACGAAAACATCTGATTCCAAGCCAAGCTTGATGGCATTGGCATGAACCTGTCGACCAGACATGCCATCATCATCCATCCTAGCACATGCCTTGAGAACACCTGAAAAGGTATAGTTATTCTTCTTAATTCCCTGTCTACCCATCTCATTAAAATCATCAACAACCTTGCCGAATTGATCTTCCCTGCAGCTATTCACAATCCTTGCTGTCCAAGTAACAGTATTACGTCGTGATAATTGATTAAAGACAAAGTCGGCATCATCTAGGCACCTGAATTTTCCATAAAAGTTGATTAAGGACCCAGATAGAGACGAATCATTGCAAGCACCCAACTTGAGTAACTGGCCATGCACTTGCTTTCCTAATCCCATATTCTTGGTCACAACACATGACCTGAGAAGACAAACGATGATCCAAGAGGGAAATTTGAACAACAAATTGTGGCGTTCCATAAGCACGAAATAAGCAATAGCCTGTTCAGAGTCACCAGCGCGGAGACATGCAACAATCATGATCGCCCAGGAGTTGAAGTCCCTAAGCAACATCTGATCAAACAAGTGACGGGCAACGTCCAAGTGACCGCACGAAACATGCATGAGAAGAAGGCGGTTAAGCAAGGGTAAGGAAGGCTTGATGCGGCTGTTTCTTATGTGGGAATGTAACTCGAGAGCCCTGCGAGAGTGGCGGGTGACGGTGCATTCTTTGACAAGGGAAGCGTAGATATCAGGGGGTATGGGAAGGGAAAGGCTATCCATTAAGCGCAAAATGTCGGAGGTTGTGTGGCTGCTACTTGGGTTGCTGGTGGAAATGGGAGTAGTGGGAGGTGGTGTAGTTTTCGAAGATTGTTTGGGAATGCGAAGGGGCAGCTGAATATGCAGTTGAGATATGGGTGGTGCTGGGGTGGCTTGGGACTGAAACATTAACTTGTTGGAAGCTGACATTGCAGGTAGAGCTGGCGATACCACGTCCATTTCTATTTAATAATGTTCCATTTCATCTTCATGACAGCATAAATAAGATGGCCTCGTAACTGTATTAAGAAAGGCTGAGGAGAGATATAAAGTTGCATCTTCTTTTGTATTTGTATCTTTTTTCTTTCTCGTATGGTTGAAGAGTTTTCCTTTTTAAAAATTTATGGACTCACCCACAATTTGGGCCACCTCTCTGATGACCCAGTGAACATGCGAGATTCATATTTTCATGAAATATGATCATTCAAATTGGAAAATGGGAAAATAATAATAAAATTTATGATCATTCAAATAAAAAAAAAGGTTTGAACCAATTACTTGTTTTATTCCGTAATAAACATCTGGACAAAAACCAGTGCCTCCATATGTATAAATATTTGAATTGCTTATTAAAAAGGACTTTATGTTGTACAATTTGGCAACTACGTTTAACAAAAAAATTACAATTTTAAGGCTTACACGTTACCAGATAAAAAAAGAAAAAATCAAATTATGTACCAAGGCGGACTATAACAAAGCTTTATTTTGTTACTATCAGGCCATGGAAGCACGCGGATTGATTTGCAACAACAGCTAAAGAGGAATGTGTGAGGTCACTCGTTGAAATTGTAAAATCTGTAAACCATTGACAAAATATTAAGATTCAGTGTCATCAATGTGTTCCTGAGAAAGTTTCACAAAATAAAATCCATACCAACTTCCCATGAATCTCTGTCAGTTAAATACCCAGAACAATTATATGCTACTACAACCAAACCTCACTCTGCATATGAACGAGGCTTTCATGATCTACAACCTTGTTCAGTTGAGGTCATTGGGACCACCTACGCAAAGTTTCTATGGCTACCTAATGATGCCACTTTCAGGTAGCAGACACCAGTTTTCTTTGAGAATTCATCAAAACTTTGGTCATGTTGACATAAGGCAGCCCGCAGCAGTCCTCATTGGTCCTTGAGATATCTCAAGTTCCCTGCCTCAAAAGAATCGCACAAACATACAACTATCAAGATGAAAGGTCAGCACTTACACATCTTCATGGTCTTTATTGACCTCCACATTGTTTGTGGCAGATTCATCAGTAGAGAACGTACTGCTTAAATGGTTGTGACATGGATGATATCCTAAATCCTCACATTCACTCTCTGGTATCGTTTGATCATCAGTTGATTGGTAAGGAAGTGATTGCAAGAAGTTGAAGTAGGCATACTTGATATCAAATTGCATATCATACCCTGACAATCAAAGTTGCACACCTTATTTTCTGAGAAACAAAACCAAACAAGGCAACAAGAAAACATTTTATCCTTACAGTAATTTACAGCAATAGTGCATCCTCCGTCTCCTGGACTCTGTCTAACGTGATGAAACCACATACTTGGTCTGCACCATCCCACCCAAAACCTCAGAACTATGATCCACAAAAAAACCACTTACTTCTTAATATGAAAACCACAATTCTCAACAATCATATACCTTTATTTGAGTTTCATTTGTATAGTCAGAAATTCAAATTGGGTGAACATACAGGCTTAAAACTAGAATGTAGTAGTATAGACAGCAGAAATGTTGAGCGTATATAGACAATTGTTACCATCTACAACAAAACTAAGAATTGGAAAGTGGAAATTTAGTTTGAGGCTGACAATGCACTAAAAGCTGCTTCGAAAAATCAAGGTTTAGTTGTTTTCTTTATTTGTATAGGATTGAAACCTCCCATGTTGTCTATGTTTTATCAACTGATGGAAATTCTAATTTGGGGTTTTGTCAAAAAGGTACTCACTTAACAATTTGAATTGTATTCTCTAAGGTATTTGGCAGCATAATGAGATGGGAATGAAATGAAAGGCATATGGATCACTCCAATTGATCTAAAATTATATAATGATGTGCAAATTATTGGACAAAATGAGTCCACCGTCATCAGTTCGAGTATCATCAGAGGAGAGGATAAGGAACTTACAAGTAAAGAATTTCTCCGGCCTTAACAGTAACCTCAAACGGCTTAGGCCCATTAAAATACAATGGAAATTTCGATCTCTCCTGTTCCGCACTCCCTGTTGCAGGGTAAGGATCCACACTACACCATGGCACGCGTCTCTCCGGCTCTTCAAGCTCCAACAGGAACTCTCCACTCTCCTGTAAATCAATAGGACAACACTCTCAAATAAATAGGTTTCCAAATTCTCTTCTACTAGTAATGATTACCCAATTTCAAGAATGGCAGGAAGGAACCAAAAAACCTCGGAATAGGAGTATCGAGCTGCTGGATAGTCCCAAATATACATGCGGTGAACGTCAGTAGGGGGAAGTAGCAAAAAATGCTTCTCCCCGGAAACGACGGCGTACAAATTCTCGTAATGGTCTTTGTGGAAAGAAGTCTCCGATAGATGGTTTCCAATCCAGAGATTGACGGCCTCCGGAAGGCAGCCTAAAGCCTCTGAAGCCCATGGAATATGGTCATCGCAATCGGACTCGAGCTCACCGTACTCGGTTCTGAAGCAGTCGTTTTGCTGCTGCAAATAGGCTACCAAATGATTGGGAGGTTGACGGATGAGGTCAAGGGCGCGAGGGAAAGCGGTGGGTTGGACGTGGGCCGAGACGAAGCAGAGGGAAGGGTGCAAAGGGTGGGGGGCCAGGGCGTCGGCCTGGCCATTGGGAGTGAGGTGGAGAGAGACGAGGGAGGAGGAGAGGGAAGTGGAGAGGTAGGAAGGGGTGGGCCAAAGGGAAAGGGCTGGCCAGTGGGAGATGGCGTTCGAGATTAAGCAGGGTTTGTTTTGGGATACAAAGTCTCTGAGGAATTGGAGTGGTGTCGGGGAAGAATGGAGGCGGTCCACGGAGTTTCCTAGGCTGACCTCCCTCACTTCCTCCCAGAGGGATTCTAGTTCTACTTGTTTTCCTCTCATTCAGAAGCTTTCCTTTGTTGGACTCCGGCTAGTTTGCTTGGAGTCACTGTAATTAAGCCTTGGGTTCTACAGGTTAAGGACAGCATATCTCTTGACTCTTGACAGTTTTTTTTTTTTTTATGTTGAAAAAATGAAAATGTATGCCAAAGCCATCTCAATCTGATTTTTCTCTTTAGGTACCCTTGTTGGTAAGAATAGTTTCTTGTTAACTTAATCCTTCTCATCTTAGATCTGATAATGCATAGAGTTAATAATGTTGCACATGAATCCATTTTGCTTGCATTTGTACCAATATGTGAAAATCGGAAATCTACATGATGTGGTTAACCCTTCCTCCAAGGAAAGGAGGTAATAAGGGGTATCCAAGAACAAGGCGAGAATGACCTTACTATTCTCCCAACCAAAATGTACCCTGAATTTATATGTTTCATAGCAAAGCTGCAGCACATGAGTTTATTCACTTGTGCCAGCAGCACCCTTGCTGATTTTCCTTGCACATTATGCTGCTATGACTTGACAATTATTTGCATTTTGACTGACTTAAGTTTTGCCTTTCTTTTTTAGTTGGTTTGTGCAGAAAATTAAAATTGTACTTTAGGGGGGCACAAGTGAGATATGAAGTGAATTAAACTCGATTTTGCCCTTTTTTTTTGTTGGTTTGTGCAAAGCAAATCATAGGAAGTTTCAAGGAAAGAATTCATTGAACAACAACTTAATTTACCATTTCATGTGATTAAAGAGAGCATGAACATTGATATGTAGGAAAAAGATATATTCAATATACAGAATTGAACAACTCAATAAATCCTTAACTGTTTATCAGCAACAATTACAAAGTTGTGACTACCACTACACAAAACCTCAATTCTACAAACAAGTAGCCACTCAGACTTACACACAACACATTAATAAAACACGAACAGAGGCTAACCATGGTATAAATCACTCTAAAGGTAGTAGCATTACCTCATCGGCCTGCCAAGGTGAGCTGTCCCCATTCTCAAGAATATTTTCATGTTACACGTATCAACAGCACAACCATGATAAAAATACATGTCATGGCAAAGATCAGAAGCCACTGGAAACAAGTAGTCTTAGAGGTTTCTGAATATATCTTCATGGCACGGGCATTTGCATGTCCAGTGCTAGCAAGACTACGCTCAACAGCCTTCTCTGTGGAATCAAGTATCTGCAGTATGCCATAATCAGTTTATAAGACCAGCAACAAACAGTTGTAAAACAAAACATGGAAAAAGCTAGCACACATGCGCACACAGACACACTCTAGGTATATATGCATGGAAATGCATCAGAAAAACCTGAAACCCAAATGCTCTATTAGTTGAACAAAAAGGGATAAAGGAGATGCATAAACTTGGCAAATATCTGTTTTTGGACTCAAGACTTCATCAAATTAGTCTAAGAAGATCCCATGGGTGACTTAAATATAAAAACATCATTTCAATAATATGTCATTTTCATTTTGAAAAAAGGAAAAAAAGAAAGCAAGCTATGCAAAATAAGTAGGATAGATACCACAGGAAGAAATAATATAGACAATACAACATGCTATTACAGCATCCTTTTAAACCTTTAAAACATAGCAACCATGCTAGTTGTTTCACAGAAATGCCTATTTTGTTATAAAGCTGTATTGACGTAATCCCAGCTGGTGCAAATAGATAAAACATGAACTAATCCGGACTTAAATGCAGTAATTGGGAAAGTCCTAACCACTGCAGAGGAAACATTTGATTCTAGACTCATAATGCATCAACTCTCCATGTACATTATGCACAATAAGAAATCACACAAAGTTTTATAGCTTATTAATATGATACATGAATGAATACATACACATGAGCAAAATTATATCTGCTTCTATATTCCCCAAAACATATAAAATTGACACATGTCATGTCTTATCAAGTGCAGATAATCAATGCAAGGAACAAAGGAACACTTAATAGCGTATAAGTGCACTTTACTTTTTCAGTGTTCTCCAGGGATCGGCTCATCATGAGACTTCTGTCTTTAAGTTGCCGTGCCAAACCAACCATCTCATCTGTTAAATCCTCCTGAAGCTTTCTGTTTTAAAGGAGATTATTAACAGCCATTAGCAGCGACATAAACCCAAATAATATGGAGATATCTTCAAGCTTTATAATCATTCACGCTACCCCATTAGGACATAGCTTTGACATGACAAGTATGATCCCATATGAGCCATTCACTGACCTCATTCATTTGCAGTCCCTTCCAGCAGCAACATATCTTCATTTATTCTCAAACAAATCTTAACTTTAACTAGGAGAAAGCATAACTGACTCAAAGTATCAATAGGCAATAGCAATATCAAATGATACCTGTGCTTCTGTATGTGTGCTTCAGCTGCAGCATCCAGTTTGACAGGAGCTGATGTATGAGCCTCAGTGGTGTCTTGCGTTCTATCTTTGATGCTTGAGGTAGGCCTGTTCAATGGCCCATAGCAATCAAAACAAAATTCAGGAGCTAATATGAATTTCAGTCATCCTCAGTTCTTAAGATTCACTTACACAGCTCTCCTTCTTAATCCTGGAGAAGAAGGCATATGACTTTCTGCATCTGAATTAGGACTCTGTTTGAAAGAGTTTCTGGTGCCTGGCTCTTGAGATACCTTAATATCGGGCTGGACCATATAAAGAAAGGTTAACGATGACAACCTCTATGAATAAGAATCAACAGACCATGAACAGACATAGACAAGCACAATGCATACACACTGATGCAGCCATGGGAGAAAAAACTGTATTGCTTCTATAGTTATAGTTTCAGCACTAGCATTTCAGGATTTTCCTTTTACAATTCTGGCTATTATTCAAATCATTATAAGATAAGCTTTAACGTAAATATACACACACACCAGTGTGGCAGTTACTTTTGAAGCAATTTCCTCAATCTTCTCTGAATAATCATTGACCACAGCCTTTGAAATTCTGGGGAGGAAAACAAAATTAAATTTGAAATCTAATAAGCTATCACAAAAACAAAACAGTTAAATCAGTTGGATAAGAGAAGTAAAGAGGAATCAGTTATCAAAATCCCACATGATCCTCTTGCTTATATTATTGTGATCCACAACAAATTAAAACCAAGAAGCTGCTCAATCAAATAAAAGCATAATAGGGAAAGAAAAATGAACCTTGGTAAGCCTTCTGGTGTTTTCTCCTCAGCCAACTTTTCTAATAATTCTCGTAAAGTAGCAACATACTACACAAAAAAAAAAAAAGTTGAATTCTTTACATCATTCACAAATTTAAATGAAAAAAGAAAAACCCATACAGAAGGGAAACAAAATTCAAAAAAGAACAAAAGTCTGGGGAAGAAATCAATCAGCATTCTGTGAAAGACATGGACCCAAAATCTTCATCAAATACTAATGAAAGATGAAACATGTGGACATACGTGTACGAGTTTAGAATGATTTTGTTGTTGGGGTGCCGCTGCAAGTAACCTCCGAAAATTCACTTCTGTTTTACTCATTCCCATCTCTAAATATAAGATAGACAAAGTTAATAATCAAAGAAACAATTACTGGGCAGTATTTTCAATTTTCATAAATATTTAAATCAAAGGAAACTGATTAATTGAGGGAGACGGAATTCCAAAGGGAACCCAATGAAAGATCTTGAGTTCGGCAAAGACGGATTGATCTTCAATAAATGTAGTAAATTCTAGTATAACCGAGAGGAAAACCAAGTTTGAGGAATACCTGCAGGCAAGACTTGATATGGTTTGGATTGAGATTGCGGCAGCTCCCTAAAACTCTGCCTTGTCTTCACAACCTGTACAAATAAACATATCAAAATAGAACAAAAAGTGTTTTATATTCCATATACTATTGTGAGTTCCGGCTTCCGTGTCTCGGATCCAAAGGGATTTTGGCCCTTGGATCTCTCTCTTTCTCTCTTTCCCTCTGATTTCTGTTTTATTGTCTTTCCCACCATCTCACAAAACAAAAGAAAAGGCTTTCAAATTAAAGCCCTCTTTAATTCTTTTCGGCTTTTGGCCAAATCTGTTCCAAACCGTCGACTTTGCAATTTTCCTGCTGGATACAAGGGTTGAAGATTTAATGTTAAGAAATTATTTTGATATATTATTGAAATTTAATTTTCTATTTATTATCAAAATATATTTTAAATATATTTTTAAATATATATTTTTAAATTTAAATTAAATAAAATAATATTATTTGTTAATATAATTGTTCTTTTTAAGCCTAAAAATTGATGCCCAAGTTCGCCGCGAGTCAAGACTCAAGCTCGACACTTCAGGACCTAGACAAGCAACTTGATCCTTGCGCACCTTTAATTTTAAGGTAAAATATACTGATTTCTTAAATTTTAATTAAAATGATATAAAAATTTATTAATTTTTAAAATAAGTACTCCATTTTAAAACTACAAATATTATTAATAAAAATAATAAAAAAATAAAATATTTTTATTAATTTAAAAAATTATTATCATATTTTAAAAAATATGGAGTACCAATCTCTCCCCAGCTCCCCTTGAAGGGGGGGCGCCGGTGCTGCCTCGCTCCCTTGGGAAGCCCAGGCTCCCAAATCGGGCTCCCCAATGGGGAGCTTTTTTTAAAAAAAATTAATGAAAAAATAATATAATTATATAATTATAATTATAAAAATTAATAAAGATAAAATTATTTTTTTATTTTTATCATTTTAACAAGTTGATGAAAATATTAATAATTAACTAAATAGCGGAATCCACGTAATCAATGACAAATAATTTTTTGAAATGAAATATTTATTTTAAAAATTAATAAATTTTTATATAATTTCGATTAAAACTTAAAAAGATTAAAATATTTTACTTTTAATTTTAAGATCCAAAGGTATTTTGGCCGGTCTCTCTCTTTCTCTGTTTCCCTCTGATTTCTGTTTTATTGTCTTTCCCACCATCTCACAAAACAAAAGAAAAGGCTTTCAAATTAAAGCCCCTTTTAATTCTTTTTTGCTTTTGGCCAAATCTGTTCCAAGCCGTCGACTTTGCAATTTTGCTGCGGGATACAAGGGTTGAAGACTTAATGTTAAGAAATTATTTTGATATATTATTGAAATTTAATTTTCTATTTATTATTAAAATATATTTTAAAATATTTTTAAATTTAAATTAAATAAAAATAATATTTTTTGTTAATATAATTGTTCTTTTTAAGCCTAAAAATTGATGCCCAAGCTCGACACTTCAGGACCTAGACAAGCAACTTGACCTTTGGGTACCTTTAATTTTAAGGTAAAATATACTGATTTCTTAAATTTTAATTAAAAAGATATAAAAATTTATTAATTTTTAAAATAAATACTTCATTTTAAAACTACAAATATTATTAATAAAAATAATAAAAAATTAAAATATTTTTATTAATTTAAAAAATTATTATCATATTTTAAAAAATATGGATTACCAATCTCTCCCCAGCTCCCCTTGAAGGGGGGGCACCGGTGCTCCCTCGCTCCTTGGGAAGCCCAGGCTCCCAAATCGGGCTCCCAAAGGGAGCATCGGTGCTCGCCAATGGGGAGCTTTTTTAAAAAAAAATTAATGAAAAAAAAATAATTATATAATTATAATTAT